AAATAGCATATACTGTATATACTCAACTATAAGTCGGCCTCATTTATAAGTCAAGGGCAGGTTTTGCAGACAAAATTATGGATTTTGATATCTTAGGGGCAAGTAACAGAGGATGTAAAAGACAAAGCAAAATAATGACAAAGAACTTACAGAATTCCAGCAGGCATAAATGTTTGTGCTCACCCTAAAGGCTGTCTGTCTGGATGAGGAGGGAAATACAATAAATTGTGGCAAAATGTAATAGGTGAGGGAAGTGAGACAGCAAAGGTGGAGCTAAGAAAATACACAATGTCAAAAAGGATGAAGAAACAAAGCAAAGAAAATTGTGTCTGTTAGCAGTGATTATAGCCTTTAACTTAAATGTGATAACTTTGCCTGATTTTAAAGCAAAGCAAAACAAAGCAGCTTCATTTATATACCACTTCATACCGCACTATGGGATGTCTAAGTGGTTTACAACTGTAAGCTCATTGTCCCCCAACAGCTGGGAACTCATTTTAGCGACCTCGGAAGGATGCAGGCCTGGGTCTAGCCTGAGCTCTGGCTAGTACTGAACTCGCAACCTTGTGGTCTATGAGTGAGTGGCTGCAGGACAGGCATTTAACCACTGCGCCATCAGGGCTCCTAGAACCCAGAAAAGCTGATAAACATACACAGGTGTCTTATTTAAATCATTCAAAGCTTGGCACTCCTTTGAGAGGAAGTGTCAAACAGATGCCATTGCCACCATTTTCCTGCCCAAGAATTCAAAAAGACCGGACGTGAAGAGGTTGTCACTTATTTTAGGTTCTCTAGGGACATTACCCATGGGTAAGTCACCCAGTACCTGCAGGAAGAATTATTCACCATAGTACATCAAACGTATTCTGTTGACAGGAGCAGAAGTGAAAGCGTGTATTGTGCATTGCACTTGCACACTGGCATCCAGACATTGATATGTGTTGTGCCATGCTGCTATAATGCATGGAGTTAATATCCCCTTGCTGATATTTACGTTATGCTCAGGCAACTTGGGAATACACCCAAAATGGGCTGGTTGAGGCTGCTGCTTCACTCTTGAGCCAACCAAAATGCACATTATACATATTGAAAGCTTTTGAAGCTCCACTGCCTGGCCCAATAAAGTATCACTGTTTTGTGGATTTTGGATGATACTGTACTTTGCTATATGACCAACATGGCTACTCCTGGGTAAGTTTTCTATGTTTAACTTCATAGTTGTACAAGATATCTCCTTAAACAATGCTGTCCACAATACTGCAAGCCCACTTCAATTGGCAAGGTGCGTGACTTGGGAAAGATGCTGTGTGTGGGGTAGAGGGCATCCAAAGAGACGTCTATTCCCCAGTCCTGTCTTAAGGAGCCTCCTGTGACTGGCACAGCTGAGACATTATTCCCACTAAGAAGCAACATTTCTGCTGTTATTTTTCTTTTGTTGTTCATTGTATTTTATATTTATTTATTTAATTAATTTCTATCCCACCTTTCTCTGCGAAGGGACCCAAGGCGGCTCACAAATAAAATTCTAAAAAACAATATCACAATAAAACAATTAAAAACATCAGCTAATAACCACAATATCCATATAAAACCCATCCCATAATCGCATTAAGCATTAAAAGCCTGCCTGAAAAGAGCCGTTTTTGCCTGCCAGCGAAAAGCAAGCAAGGAGGGGGCCAGCCTTACTTCTTGTGGAAGGGCATTCCAGAGGGCAGGAGCAGCCAACAAGAAAGCTGTCTCTCATGTCTTCACCAGACAAACCTATGAAGGTGGCGGGACTGAGAGAAAGCCTCCTCCTGAAGATCTTAGGGCTCTAGGTGGTACGCATGGCGAGATACGGTCTTTCAGATAATCTGGACCTAAGCCGTGTAGGGCTTTATAAGTCATAACCAGCACTTTGAACTGTGCCCGGAAACGAACTGGTAGCCAGTGAAGCTGTTTCAGTAAGGGAGTTATATGGTCCCTATAACTGGCCCCAGTCAGCATTCTGGCAGCAGCATTCTGCACACGCTGAAGTTTCCTATCAATTTCCAAAGGCAGCCCTATGTAGAGTGCATTGCAGTAGTCCAAATGGGATGTAATCAAGGGATGTGTCACTGTAGCCAAATCTGTTGTCTCAAGGAATGGGTGCAACTGGCGCACAAGTTTTAACTGTGCAAATGCACTCCTGGCCACTGTTGAAACCTGGGCATACAAGTCAAAGTGAATCTGAGCGATTCTGTCAGCAAAGTGTTTTGCAAATTCTTCACAGCAAGCTGTGTTCTGTTTTGTTCTCTGATATGAAGTCAACGTCTTGTAACCCTATGAATGAGAGATACCAAAAGCTCCAGCTGCCAACTGCCCTGTTGGTGTCTTACAAACTCAGGGCCATGGCTTCCTTGATTAAATCAATCCACCTGTAGTGTGGTCCCCCTCTTTTCTTACTGATATTGTGTAACTTAGGACTTTTCTTTAATCTCTGTGCAGGCCAACAACCAAACATCCTTTAAGTTTGAATCCAGTTGCATCATTAGACACAATACTACTTGTCCTCTGCTCTTCAGTCTATGAGAGATCCTCCATCACACAAACACACATGTATACTATTGCTGCTTGCCCACTATCTGCTGGCATATTTTGTCTGGCTCTTCAGCAAAAGCCTGCCTGTCATGGGGGATCCTACTGCCGGACATGATACTGTCAGCATAGCCTCTTGCCTCACAGAAGCAGGCAATCCTACCATCACATTTTAGAATGGAAATTATCATCAACAAGGGAACAAGAGAGTCTTACCAAGACAGCCCATAACCTCACAGGTCTGCTTCATGATCTGCATATACAAGGCTTATCCCTTTTCTATTTGGGCTGACTCAAGACCTCCATCAAAGTATTGTAGCTGTTAATGCTATTATTATAAATGAATCTTAGAACAGAAGATATAATCATCCAGGGAACGAGACAGCCTTACCAAGAGAGGTCATGATCTCACGGATCTCTGCCATGATCTGCCTGTGCAGGGCTCTCTGGTCAGCATCCAGCAGGGTCCATTCCTCCGGGGAAAAAGACACAGCCACTTTCTCAAAAGGCACCAGGCCCTGGAGACAGAAGAAAAATAAAGCAGTCTCAGAGGCTGACAAGGCCCCAAAGGTAGATGAGGTGAGACTGATTCTTCCACAAACACTGCATGTGCATTGTGGAGGAGATCTAACAAGAGCCTTGGCCCATGACATATTCTACAGCTGCACTAAAGAAAACATTACACTTTTAAAGAAACATTACACCACAACTGAGGAACAAAAGGCCAAAGGTGTAAAGTTGCAGGATTTGAACCAGAGGAAGGCAACTGCAGATGGGGTGAGCAGGCCAAGGAGGGATGCTGGGTCTCTTTCAACTCCATGTTGGCCAGTTTTCAGCTAGTTTGTTAGA